AAAGTAGAGTCAATCAATCATGTACACTTAAAATGCCCTCCCCCCAGTGCTACAAACATGGCCTTTAAGTGCCATCTCATCCCCTCCGGGCCTTTTTCCGTGTACGGTTTGCTCATCTCTTGTCTCGGGCCTCTGAATAAGGAGTCGCTGCAAAATCTCTGGAAGCTTTTTCCTAGATTCTATGAGTACATATGGAAGACCAGGAATGAGAAGGTTTTCAACAACAACGAAACTTTACCAATGGAGATGCTAGAAATAACAGTGCAGGAAGCGGAAGTCTGGAAGGTAGCACATGAGGTTGCAGAGGTGGGGGAAATATCAAACTAATCTCAGAGTCAATGTACACCAGATGCAAGAATAAGAACGAGCCCGATGAAAGATGGACCCTAATACCTGAGATGCCAAGTGGATGCATTGTGGTTATGGATGGAAATACAGTGGGTGGGGGTTTAATTATTGAATTAGAAGATAGTTCTCGTCTATTTGGTTTTATGGCAAAAGAACAAGTGCTCTTACTCATACACGCTGAATTCGAAACCCTCTTATAGGCTATAAAACTGTTGAACCCTATGCAGATTCCCGGATTGATGATTGAAACAAATTGTCTTCAATTGGTTAATTTAATAGAAGAAGAAGAATGATGGCTGGCAAACTAGAAGAAGTAGAGTGCTTGATGCTAAAATTTTCATGTTTTTAGTATGATCTTTATTCCATGTTCACTCAATGTCCGGAATAACCGAGTTATTAAAAATATTTAAGTCTATAGTTTTTTTTTATGTACATTCAATTTTTTTAGAGTGGTTGATTCAAAAGTCCGATTTTTTGAATTTTAAATTTAATATATGAAGTTTTTATAGTAAAAAAAAGATTATGAATAAATAGTGTATGATTATTTTATTAATGAAAACGAGAAAGGAAACAAGGTGATTTTTGGTGCGATTAGACCCCTTCTTTCTTCTCAACCTCTTTCTCTCTATGGAGAGTGAATATCGCTGGCAATTAACGACGGTTTTGTCAGGATTGAGTAACTGCTTAACTGATTGTAACTTCCAATCGTTGTGGGATATATATATATATATATATATATATATATCATGTGTGTGTCTTTGTTTCCTTTGTGAGAATCAGACTGAACAGTCTTTTTCCTATTTTTCTCTTACTTATGGCGGATAAACTTAGGAGTAAGATGCAAGATATCTCTCTTTGAATCGAAGATGAAATCATCAATCTTCCTCAGGATCTATGTGTGGCTACAGCAGAAGAAACCTGATTTAGTTTCATTGCCAAACCAATTAATCCATGTAAACAAAATTTATGTGCGATGATGTCTGCTCTTACACGCCTTTAGGGTGTTGGTGAAGAAGTCGTGGATCGCATTATTGAAAATATGAAAGTTCAGTTTCTGTTCCAGACAGAGGAAGTGATGCGTTCAGTGTTAAAAAGAGGGCCATGATCTTTTAATGAGTGGGCGTGTATCATTCAACGATAGAATCCTTCTCATTCTGAGAATGATCTTAAGCATATTCTATTCTGGGTTCAGATTAGAGGAATTCCTCTTCAGTTCCCTACGATGTGTATGATTGTTCATATTGGAGGCATGATGGGTCACTTCTTAGAAACAGATTTTAATGGTGACGGAGCGCTCCATGTGGACTATGTTCGTATTCGCTTACTATGGAATGTTGAAACACCTCTGTGTTTTCAACGTTTCTTCAGGTTTGGTGACAAGACCCCTGTTCTAAAATCTCGTTATGAAAAACTATGTGGTTTCTGCACGACCTGTGGCCTAATGTCTCATGATGGATCTGAATGTCCTCTCAACAACAATCACTCCAAAGACACATGATGAGGATGATGATGACCAAAACGATGTTCCACCTGGATTTCAGACCCCGACGAGACAAATCGATGAACAGATGCGAGCGAATGATCCCTCTTCAGAGGATCCAAACCAGAAAACTCAAGGCATTGCATCAAAAAAGAGGAAAACAGAGACACCATCTCCGTCAACAACTGAAACCACTGAAACGCCGCTGATCTACAGTGATATGCAACGAGGTTTTACCATGGATTATTACCAAGAGCAGACTCTTAAGAGAAGACGCGTTCAAGGTGAATTCATGGAGATACGTAATTGGTTTAATGAATTCAATAGAGTAAATTCAGTGCACCAAGAAGATGGATCAGCGCAAGATAACTCACCAACTAATAGAGAGGGCACGATGGGCCAAAAGCCACCAGAGCCACCATGAGTACATCATTTTAGAACTGCCAAGGTGTGAAAGGGTCCTTGGTAGTTCAACGCCTTAGAGGGATTAAGAAAACTTACTCCCCAGATATACTCTTTCTGGTAGACACGAAGAAGCGCAATGATGTCATCCGGGATATTGCTGCTCAAGTTCTGTTTGACTATGTTAAGTGTGTTTCACCGATTGGGATCGGTGGTAGTCTTGCAATGTTATGGAACAAATCTGTTTATGTTACTTTCTTTTCCGTTGATGAACATATGATTGATTGTAAGATAAATTATAAAGCCTTTTCTTTTTATTTCTCTTGCATTTACGACAATCCAGTTCGTAAGTTTCGTCATGTTCTTTGGGAAAGATTAGAAAGAATCTCAGTTGATCGTGTTGGACCTTGGCTAATGTGTGGAGACTTCAACGAAATATCAAATGCAAATGAGATGAGAGGTGTGCGAGAAAGAGAGAGTTGGAGTTTTACAGATTTCAGAAATATGGTTAACAATTGCAGAGATGTTGATCTTCCGTTTGTTGGGAATAATATGACTTGGGTTGGGAAACGTAGAAAACTCACAATTGAAAGTTGGTTAGACAGAGTGATGGCTAATAATGAATGACGATCATCTTTTCCAGCATCGCAAGTTGAATATTTAGAACTTATTGAATCGGATCATCGACCCGTCATAATTAAGATATGAAAGCAAATTGATCACGGGCGGCAAACTTTCAGATTTGATTACCGTTCCAGAATCCAGAGTTTTCTACTATTGTTTGTGAATGTTGTTCAGATAATGATCTTCAATCTGAAACGCCGATTATATAGAGAATACGTAAATGTTGCCATACAATATAGCATTGGAAGAAAAAAACTAGCTCTAATTCGGCAAAGAGAATGAAGGAGTTAATTCGAGAGACTGATAACACTCATACTGATCCAACAGTTCCGACTGAGCAGATTAAGGATTTACGTATTATCAAAACGAAGAGGAATTTCGGAGAATAAAAAGTCGTAATAGATGGTTAACAAAAGAGGATCGTAACACAGATTTTTATCATGCTTCAACAAAAAACAGACGCTCCAGAAATCAAATTGTCACCATTGAAGATTCACTTGGAAGGGATATTCATGGTAGTTCTGCGATTGCTGCAGAAACAGAACACTACTTTATGGCCTTATTTGATAGTTCAGGCAACGCTGTGGATGATAGTGTTTTCTTAACATTCACTCGGTTGTGATGCAAGAAATGAATGACTTTCTTACAAAAGAAGTTACGAGTGAGGAAGTTCATAAAGCACTGTTTTCTATTGGAAGTAACCGTGTACCAGGACCCGATGGTTTCACAGCCGATTTCTTTCAAAAATACTGGGAGACAGTAGGACGTGCAATTATCACAGAAGTACGACGCTTCTTTCATACAGGCGAAATGTCTCCAGACCTAAATCATACAAATCTATGTTTGATTCCGAAGATCTCCCCTCCTACAACTATAAAAGATTCCAGGTACATTGCTCTCTGCAATGTAATATACAAAGTCATATAAAAATTTTTAGTTATGCGACTGAAATCAACTCGTACACATGTTGTGTCTGAAAACCAAGCTGCCTTTATCTATGGTCGTCATATCACCGACAATGTTCTTATTGCACATGAGGCACTATACTCCTTACGAGTCCGTAAACGATGTGCTAAATCCTACATGGCAGTAAAGACATATATTAGTAAAGCATATGATAGAGTAGAGTGAAACTTTTTGGAGGAAGTTTTCAGAAGAAAAGGCTTTTCTGAAACATGGATTCGATGGGTAATGACTTATGTTCGTTCAGACTCCTTTTCTATTCTAATTAATGGTAGTCCTTACAGCAAGTTTAAGGCCAAGCGTGGCATTAGACAAGGTGACCATCTATCTCCTTATCTCTTTATATTCTGTGCGGATGTTCTGAGTTCACTCTTTAATCAAGCAGAAAGGAACTATAATATACAACCAATACGTCTGAGTATTGGTAGACCTCTTATATCACATCTTTTATTTGCCGACGATTCCTTATTTTTGGTTAAGGACAAAAATAGCAGAAATCTCCGGAAGATTTTTGATAGTTATGGTAAAGCTTCAGGCCAAATCATAAATTTTGACAAATCAGCCATTACTTTTGGAGAACATGTTTTTGAACACACTCGAGTTGGCATTCAGGGTATCTTACAGATACCTAACAGAGGGAGAGGTGGGAAGTATCTTGGTCTACCAGAACAATTTGGAAGAAAGAAAAAAAGAATGTTTCAATATATCAAAGAAAATGTTCTCTAGAAGATTCTTATCAACGGCAATAAAGGAAGTACTCCTTAAATCAGTAGCCTTTGCAATGCTGGTCTACTCTATGAATTACTTCCAACTTTCAAAAGAATTATGCTCTAAATTAAACAGTATGATGGCGATATTTTGGTGGGGTAGCGGAATAAAGAAAAATGGCTTGGGTTTCCTGGAAGAAACTAGCAACATCCAAATCTTCAGGTGGTTTGGGTTTCCTAGATCTTCATCAATTTAATCAGGCTTTGCTTGCTAATAAAGTTTGGAACATAATGCAGCGACCAAATAGCCTTTTACATCGTATACTAAAAAGGATGATATTTTCGTAGTGGTTCAATTCTAACACGGAAACCTGGAAATCAACCATCTTATGGCTGGCGATCCCTACTTTTCGGCTGTGAGCTGCTACAATTAGGTCTCCAACCAAGTACCGGTGATGGTTTATCAACAAGACTAGATGACTGTTGGCTTCCTACTACACCTTCCCAGGCACCTTCCCTACTACCGTACATGAATCCTTCTCTCTCTGTAAAATTTTTGATAGACACAGCATCACATCAGTGGAATGAAGAGGAGTTTTATGAACTTATCGACAAAACAGATCATCATCTTATCAAGAAAATATTTCTCCTTCCATGGCAAACAGATGATACTATGATATGGAATCCAAGAAAGGATGGTATTTACATTGTCAAATCAGGATATTATTTGGCTAATAACATTTCCTTATCACTGTTTAGGCCCCTTGGCTCCATATCCTGCTTAATCTAAGCATATTTGGAGTGCCCATATAACTCCAAAGCTCCAACATTTCCTTTGGCGGGTTTCATTAAAAGCAATTGGTATCAATGCTAATCTACGCAGACGAAGGATAAATGTTGATCCTCTTTGTTGTCGTTGCTGCATTACAGAGGAAACAAGTGAACACATGTTATTCTCATGTCATTATGTGATGACAATATGGAGATTATCTGGTCTTCCAATGTATATCATTTCTGATCCGATACTCTCTTTGGAGGACAAACTTCTATATTTACTCCAACACGTACATAATACAACACTCCCAGAAGAAAAGCGTTACGAGCCTGTATGGATTCTTTGGTGAATATGGAAGAGTGGAAACAACCTGATTTTCAATATGAAGAATATTTCCCCAGAAGATACTCTAAGTAAGGCACGAAAAAATGTTCTGGAGTGGAAACTTGCATCACAACGAATATATCCAAATACTACTCAACAACACTATAGACGTCCGCAATCTTCTTCATGGTAGAGACCACAAGTCAACTGGCTTAAATGGAACTATGATGCTTCGCACCATTTTGGCAACCGTATTTCCGGATTAGGCTGGATCATTCACAACCATATGGGAATCTTTCTAGATGGTAGTATGGGAAAATTTCAAGGTAGATATTCTGTTGAAGAGGCTGAATACTCAGCGTTCATATGGGCAATGCAATCAGTTTGGTCTCTTGAATATAGACGAATTAAGTTCAAAGGCGACAACCTATTCTTATCACAACTACTCAACGGTCACTCCCAAAACTTACGATTACAGCATTATATTTTAACTATTTAGAGTTGGGCTGCTATGTTTTATACTGTGAAATTCAGTCATAGGCTTAGAAAAGTAAATCAGTATGCTGATATATCATATTATTGATTGGCAAGCAAATTGGATTGTGATTGAGAGTTATGATGATTGAGTACTATTTGCCTCTTATATAAAAACACTTTATTTACCCTTAATAAAATTAATAAATTAATATAATCTAATTTTTGATTTTTGTTTTATTTAAACCAAAATTTCAAATTCGAGTTTATATCATAAGAATATTCAATTTAAAAAAGGTAATTAGCATAAATTACAAAAATTCTAATTATTTTTTAAACTAATTTTAATTTGATCGTTTAATCTACTAATATTTTTGATTAACCTAAATGATTTATGCAGTCACAAGTAAAATTCTAAATCTTATGAAAATTAATTTATACGGCCAAAAAATAATATATCTCATAAAAATTATATTTTTAAATATATTAATTATGATTTTAAATATTTTAAATAATTATAAAATCTGATTTTTTCATCTATAAATTAACTAATGTTATTATTTAAAAAAAGATTTAATCGAAGTATACACTTTGTGCAAGAAAACACCTAGTTAACTAAGAAAGCTATTTTATCTTTGTATTTGTATGTAAACAATGATTGTAGTATCCAAAATTAATAAATAATTTACAAAAAAATGATTGTAGTATCCAAAATTAACTAAGCTATTTTAACTAAGAAAGGTTTCTTCACCTCACCTGTATGTAAACAATGATTGTAGTATTCAAAATTAATAAATAATTTAGAAAAAAGAAATAATATATATATATATTATTTTTGTCGGTTACTGAGATATTCTTCACATCCGAGAAAAGAAAGAAGGCATATCGTCTCTGAATCGCGAAGAACCAAAAAGGCAAAAACCTAAGAGGAAAAAGTAATGGCGGATCAGCTAACGGACGAACAGATCTCTGAGTTCAAGGAAGCTTTTAGCCTCTTCGACAAGGATGGAGATGGTTAGTCTCATCTCATCTTCCCCTTTTGAATCCCTCTGATCGTAGTTTAAACCATTTGAATCTCGCTGTTCCGATTTCGTCTCCGATCGGGTGCTTTATCGTCCTCAGATTCGGAAAATGTTCGAGTCTGATTTCGATTTGGTGATATCATGCCGTTTATAGCCTCTTGGTTTTGCTGTTCTTGACCTCTATTTCCTGTGATTCGTGAGCTTTGGTGTAGAGTGTTTCTTCCTTGTGTGATTCAATCGATTGACAAGTCTCTTGTTTTGATTGATGTTTACTTGTTATAGCTTCATTTCCTCTAATCTGCGTTTGCGTTACTCTTCATGACAGAATCGACTTAACATAGTTGTATCTTTCGCGATTGTTGTATCATATGGTGCTTCTTCGAAGCCTGCTTCATATTGATTGAGGATCCTTGTCCGATTATATATCTGAGTTCTCACTCTAGAGGAAGAATTTGGAAAATTAGGTCAGAGACTGCCATATGACAATTGCTTGTAACCAAATTCTGATGGTCTTTGAGTGTACTTTGCATCTTTCTCGCATTAGAAATTACGTTTCTTGCTTCTCTATTTGACTTTTTTGTTTTGTTTCCTGAATCAAAGCTCAAAGTTGTCTTTCTTTCATTGTGTTAAGTTTAAGATGATGTTTAGTCTCCTAAAAGAAGCAAACAATCATGTGTGTTCTTAGCACAAATCATTTGGTTTTCCACAATGAAAAATTTCATATTCGAGTAGATTTCTCATATTTGATTGATTGTTTGGCTTTCGTAGCTAGAAAAAGATTCATTCTGCACACATTTTATCATAAGACCGTGTTTCATTCACCTTTCTTATGTATATCAATCTGATTCTGTCATCAAATCTACTTGTTATTTGTTTTTCTTGTAATAAAAGCAAACAATCATGTGTGTTTTAGCACCTATCATGGTTTTTTTTTCAATAATGAAAGATTCTCATATTCGAGTAATTTTGTCATATTTGGTTTTTTATTGGCTCTCGTAGCTCAAAACAATTCATTCTACACACATTTTATCATAAGACCTTGTTTCATTCATGTTTCATATGTATATCAATGTGATTACGTCATCAAACCTACTTGTTTTGTGTGATATAAAGCAAACAATCATGTGTGTTTTTGCTGGCCATTTGTAGCTGAAGAGATTTATCACAAGACTTGGTTTCATATGCATATCAATCTGATTCTGCCATTGAATCTATATGCTTGTTCCCTAATACAAATTCTCTTTGACTGATGGAAAAAAAAAGGTTGCATCACTACCAAAGAGCTGGGAACAGTGATGAGGTCTCTAGGACAGAACCCAACAGAAGCTGAGTTACAAGACATGATCAACGAGGTGGACGCTGATGGTAACGGAACCATCGACTTCCCTGAGTTCCTAAACCTAATGGCTAAAAAGATGAAGGACACAGACTCAGAGGAAGAGCTCAAAGAAGCCTTCAGGGTGTTCGACAAAGACCAGAACGGATTCATATCCGCTGCAGAGCTACGTCATGTCATGACGAATCTAGGAGAGAAACTGAGTGATGAAGAAGTTGAGGAGATGATCCGTGAAGCCGATGTTGATGGAGATGGTCAGATAAACTACGATGAGTTTGTCAAGATTATGATGGCTAAGTGATATATATGAGAGTTAAAAAGAAGAAACCTTTTACTATCTACAACAACAACAAAAAAGAGTAAAAGATTCGATCTTTTGATTGAATTTAGTAATCTTTAAAGTTTAAATAGACTGAATTTGCGACAATGTCTTTTTATTTTGTGGGTTTTTTTTTTTGTTTTGTTGGCATGGTAGTGAACAAAAAAAAAAATATTATCTAGGAGCATTCAACTTGATGTTCACTTTTTAAATATGAGGCTATTAATCATTGATTATATATGCTGCTTGGGGAAAATGATCCAAACCAAAATAAGAAGAATCAAACTGAATTGAATGATCATAGATGTTCAAATATTTTTTTATTTAATATATTTGTGTAATCATATTATTAATTGGCAAGTAAATTGTACTGTGGTTGAAAATTACGATGATTGATTATTTTTTACATTTTATCTTAATTTACTTTAACTATTTTTAATAAAATTATTAATTAAATTTGAGAGTTATTATGGTTGATTATTTTTTACTTTTTATCTTAATTTACTTTAACTATTCTTAATAAAATTATTAATTAAATTAAACTATGCGATTAGTTTGGTTTTGAAGCTGTTTTGTGTTATTTAATATCGATACGGTTTGGTATGTTTCAATGGATCGATAAATGATATGTGACTTGGGCCATTATGTTTACTAAAACTCTAGATTATAAAACATTAGATTATAAAGTATATATAAATACCTCCAACCTGTTTGAGTATTTATGTTACATCTATGGTCTCGCTGTTGTGTTTCTTGAGAAGACAGCCGTATTTATGTAACATGGCTATGGTAATCTGTTTTATTTATTTTCTTGTAATCTTTAATTATGGTTTTGTTGTTTCGTGTGTTTGGTTTAAAGTTTTGGTGTGCCTTCAACCTTTTGTTTAAAGGTTTTGGTCGTAGTGGTTCCGAATCATGTGTTTTGTTTTACTTAACTTTTTGATTAGGTGGCGAGAACATAGAGAGAAAAAGAATCGGAAGGAAAAACTTTCAAAAAGTGATTCAAATTTGTTTGAGAGTCTGTATTTGTTTGTTTAGTTTGATCTAATCTATAGCCAATCGAAAAAGAAGCTGAATAAGAAGAATATGAGAAATGAAGCTGAAGTAATTTGAAAGGTATTTACTACTTTATATCTCTCTCCGCTTAGGCTTGATATTGATATGTTGATCATAATGTTTCGATTACCAATCTATTGTCTATTATGTTATTTCGTTTAACTATTGTTTGTTGATATCTTTCACTCTTGGAATCATCAGATAATTTTTACTTTCTATGTTTTTTTTCATATATTTAGTTCATCGCTTTCTTTTAAATCTTCATTTATTTTCTGTATTATGATATTTCTTTCACTTTGCTCTGACAAAAGTTGTATTATATCATTGTGAATAATTAATTTGGTTTTTCTTTAAGTGAGTTCATCTTAGTATTTGTAAATCTAAAAAGATTCTGTTTACATTTATATCATCATGATCTATAATGAAGTTTTTAAATTAGTATAGAAAATTCAAATCTGATTTGAATTTCTTATTTTGTAAACAAAGGCCTCTCACCTGATTTGCTGCCAATCTCGGCGCCTCTCTTCCTCGAACTTTAGTTCAGATTCTTTATCTCTCCATTACACAGAGTTGTTGAAAGTTAAGAGTCAAGGGCAGATACTAACAAATCGCTAATCAATTAATAATTAGTTGACGTTTTTGTAATCTTTGTTCGCGTAATACCGACTCAAAACATATTATCTGATCTGAATTCTTTTTCTAGGTTGCATGGTGGGATACTAGATTTATTTAAAAAGTCAAATAGTTCTTTACTCACAAAAAATGTAATTTATTAGTGAGTGTTTGATTTATGTTGAATACCTTTGCACTGTGTTTTG